AAGATGTTGAATAACAAAACATTGCGTGTATCGACTCTTTGAACGAGACGCACTATTCGTGAATCCACTCTATTATGAATTCTCTTATTTACATTCTTGTGGAATTAAATTCTATAATTATGCCCTTGAATTGAGTTATAACTCTAGGATTGATACTTCCCACTTGCTTTTCCTAAATTCTCACCAAGGGACTATATCCGATGAATTTCTTACAGAATCTTTTATTTAAATGGACAAAATCTACTCGCTTGTGCCTATACATGCACCGTAGTAAAGTTTACCTATGTGGTGTCATGTTCCATGCAAAGCATCCCAGCATTGCGATCCTTCTCGAGTCACTCTTTTACTCAGTTGTGTATATGGCTTATATTGCTTATGAGAACAAAGTTATATATATCAGTTTGATATACGTTATATACGAAAGTATATTATTTTCTCCCCTCACAAGTGGTTCAGGGTCAGGAACCAAATAATTCCATCTTATTATTATTGATGTGCGGTGTATATTATGATTAACACCATAACGCACAAAGATGGGTTCTCAAACTTGAGGAAACAAGTTAGTGTTTCTAACATGAGGGGGAGACATGATAAACAGTTGAGAAAAAGTTACATGGAATGAATTATTATTTATACATCTCGATCCTCGAATAAGATAATATGAAATTGAAGTTCATAAAAAGATAATTCATTTGCAATATATTGCAAAGCATGCCAAACGCATTTGCTGACCCAAAGAAAGTAACTATATTCTCGTTGCAAATGCTCCTATTACCTAGAAGGACAAAGTCTATGGTACGCTTAAAGCATATAGACAAATCGGTTTCAAATAAACTTCTTGATAAAGAAGATGAGCAAATGATCAAAATGATCATAACAAAGGAGACAAGTGATCTAGAAGATCACATGACATAATGCTTCATAAAATCTCAATAGAGGTTTAGGTACCTGAAATGAATGAAGAGATCTCTATGTTATGTCTTTATTAAAAATGTTGAAACCGATATAAAATGTTCGTCGACGATATCTATGATACCGCTAAATATATATGAGGATCTTAAGTCTGGTGAAACAATTTCGAATAGAATTGGTTTCATATGAAAGACATGTAGTTTTGAACATGCACGTAGTTCAAACACTTGAAAGTATAAAGTCAATGGTGTGTGCAATCAGTTTTCGATATCTTATATGTCTAGCATGACATGAAAACTTGATATGCATCTAAAGTCTATTATATGGCTTATATGACTTAACAATCCCTGAAGGATTTAAATTGCCTAAAGCATATAGAATTCATGGTCATGAAGTACTACATCCTCAATGCAATTTGTGCACAAATGTATCTTGCTATAACTATATGCATGATAATATGATAGCAAGAGTTTTCACCTCTATGTGAAGATATTGAAATGATGATTCCAACAAGATCATATGAAGACAATTCATCTCTATCAAGAATGATGATTTCAAGGTGCAAAATATTCATTCAAGTTAATATGGCTTATTTGTTTATCAAATATCTACCAAAGATCTTTTGAAGATGGTGCACAAGATTGGAATGCAAATGCTTAAGGATGTGAAGTGATGCTCTCATGAGGGGGAGTTAATACGCGTTGTACTCTTTTTTCCCGTACAAGGTTTTGTCCCACTGGGTTTTCCTTGCAAGGTTTTTAACGAGGCAACCAAAAGGCGTATTATTAGATATGTGTACTCTTTTTTTCCTTCTCTAGAATTTTTTCCCACTGGGTTTTATTTTAGTTAAGGTTTTAACGAGGCACATTATCTGTTGAATAGACATTCAAGGGGGAGTGTTATAAACAGAATTTTATTTATGGTGAATGTCTATATTTAGAGAGATTCTAGGGTTTATTACTTGGTGGCTAAGTCACCCTCTCCCTATAAATAGAGGGTTCTATTCCATTGTAATTCATCCTAAATATCAATAAGAATTCTCTCTCCCTACTTTTCTCTGCAATACTACTCTTCTTCTTTTATTGTTTTATAACAAATTTTATTTTCTAATATGTGGATACATTGTATGATAAATTGGCGGATTTTGTTTTAAGCTTTACACCCGAGATTTGCTAAGGTTTGTCTAAAAAGAGAAACTAATTTTACCTAAAATAACTAACTTGTCCTAAAGTTGCCACATGTGCATTTTATAGATACAACACTTGGTAAAATATTAGGGATGACTTCTTTCCTTTTAAATAAATATAGATTAGTTTTTCTTTTTTGACCTTTGGTTTAATATTCTAAGTTACAGAATTTAAGTACACTATGTGTTGGGGTCAGGCTAAGTACTCGAATCACTTATTCTTTAGAACAATTTCAAGCAATTGTTTGAATACTAATCAACTCGAAAGTACTAAATCAGCATAGACGAAAGGCCAAAGCTATATCTGTATCCACCTTCCCCATAATATTGACTAATTTTTAGTATTTTCTACGAAAATTAAATTATCACTTCAAATAGATAATTAACGGTTTTTCCATTTGATTTGGTATTATGGTGGTGGTATCACGGAAAAACACTGATTGAGTCCAACACTCGACATCTATTAAGAAAAAAATGATGCTACAAAACGTTGATTTTGAAGCTCAAGTCCGTAAGTCCTTTTAGGACTAGGCAAAAATTTCTTTTTTCATTGATCTTCTTTCCTTGGAAAAAATCAAATTAAAGATGATCGGTTAACAATGTTTTGCGGTATACGTACTTGGCATCACACTGTTTAACAGTTTTTCCTTTTTAGTAATATTTTTACAATTGAATATCTTTACTATTACTTAATTTTTTAACTAAAGAAAAAAAAAATAGATAAATTTTATAAGGGAAATCAAATTCTAGCATGAATTAGAGCTGCAGAAGAAATTCAACATGAGAAAATCTCACTTTATACCCATTAATTCCAAACTATTTACCCTTTAATGCCCAGGCCCAAACTATTTACTACTCCTACCCATGACCCCCAAACTATGTAGCCGCCTTTATTATGTTCCTCTTCTTCTTCTTCTTCCTCATACCTTCCTCCAATTATCCGTCTCTTTTACCTTCCGCTATCTCTCCATCTCCATTGTTTGCATATTCAGAAATCATTGAATTCCAAGATACCAGATCTGGTTCCTTTATTTTTCCGAAGACTTTCAAAGCTGTTTCACTATCACCACAACTAGAATACATGTCGAGCAGCGCATTGTACAATGGCAAATCTGGTGCAATCCCGGAAACAATTACTTTAACATGAGTTGCTTCCCCTGCAAGACCATCTCTCAACCTGCTACAAGCACTCAACAGCGTTGTATAAGTAAAATTTGTCGGATTAACTCGAGCCGTCAACATGCTGTCAAATAGCTGAAGGCCTTCCATGGTCCTACCATTGTTGGGCTTGAAGCTCAATTTTATTTTTGAAGATTTCTTGTTTGATTCAAAGTGGGTGCGTTAAATATTACTTATACGGAAATGACGGAAATATAGTCCAGTGCCGCGAAGGCGATAATGTCTTACGATCTTACGATCTCCGCTTGTTAAATATTGCTTATAGTATCTTTTGGAATTTCATACTGAAATTTGATAGCGTTTGGAGCTGATTTGAGGTGATTGAGATCGAAATTTCAGTTGAAAATCGAAGAAGCACACAGCTACAATATACCGCTACGGTATACAATATGCTGTAGTATACAATATATTGTTATGGTATACTGTAATAATATGCAAGATACTGTAACAATATGCTGTAATAGTATACAATATACTATAATAGTATACTTATTACCCGTAAATTCACTTGTCTTTTCCCTTTTAATTTGTTTTTTAAGTTTTTACCCAAGTGTGAGGGGCAAACTGAAAATGCTAAAAAAAAATAAATTATAGTATGCTACATGATGTAATGGTATACTCTTACAATTAGGTCATTTTAGAATTTTTAATTTTTTTTGACAACTGATATTATTTCAGTTTAATAATTGAATTAAATTTTTTTTAACTCTTTACGTACAATTGTATACCATGTTGGTATAGCTATATACTATATCAGTATCATATGTTAGTTAATATTTTTTTGGTTGTATTAACTACATTTAATTGGTACACAATTTAATTTTTCTTTAGTAATAATATAAAAAAAGAATAATAAAATAGTGAAAAGAGTAAATGAAATTAGATTATGAAGAGAAAAAGAAAATAAAAAAACAGAAGTTAAATAAAATTAGAAAAGGAAAAAAGAAAAAAAGAAGAAGAAGAAAACGAGAAAAAAAAGGAGAAAAGAAAAAAAAAAGAAAAAAGAAAAGAAAAGAAGCAAATAGGCATTAAGAATGGATCATGAAACAAGATATTCCAATTAAAACATGTAGAGGTANACTACATTTAATTGGTACACAATTTAATTTTTCTTTAGTAATAATATAAAAAAAGAATAATAAAAAATAGTGAAAACAGTAAATTAAATTAGATTATGAAGAGAAAAAGAATATAAAAAATAGAAGTTAAATAAAATTAGAAAAGGAAAAAAGAAAAAAAAAAGAAGAAAATGAGAAAAAAAAGGAGAAAGGAAAAAAAAGAAAAAAGAAAAGAAAAGAAGCATAGAAAAAAAGAAAGAATTGAAGAATAAAGAAAAAATTCCCACAAAACCTACTATGGGTAGGAAATATAATTAGTTTATGAATAAGAAAACAAATGGGTAGACAAGAGTAAATAATTTTATTTTCGTGGATAACTATGTCAAAACCCCATTTAACATGTCCAAACAAACAGCCCAATATCAACAGAGTCGGACTCAAATTCATATGCAGAAAATAAAAAACCAAAGGAAGAAAAAAATGAATTTATAAAGACGAGATCCTACCTCGCATGGAATTTGGAGAGAACACCTAGGCAACAAAGCTTGAGGAAACGACGTGATTGCCCATCTGACAATCACTGATTGGCCACTTGACAGTCAGATGTTTTATTGCTCTTTTGTTTCATTTTCCTTTTAATTTGTTTTGGAAGAATACTTCTAATACATAGCTTGATTTTTAGACATAAAACAATTGGCATTCGTTGTAGTTTATTTTCTCTATCCTTGATGTAACTTACAGTTTGTTTATATCCTAATAATGTAGGAGAGAATTTTTTTTTTCCCCCTCTAACAGAGGATTTCATTGATAAGCTAAGAACGAGAATTACTGAGGGTGGTTGGTTAGAGTTTCTACTACTAGTTACATAAAAAACTACGTGCATGCAAGTAAGGACATAAACATAACAGAAAACATAAACAAGAGAAAGTGGGGGGGGGGGAGGGGGGGAGGGGGTAGGGGTTCTTAACAAAATAGTAAGAA